CAAATTGGATCCCCAAAAGTATAAAATTAAACGTAAATCACTTTTTCTTTACATCTCGTAGAACTTTGGATTAGTACGCTTATGAAATGGCAGCTATTAAGTTTGTGTTCCTTGTTATGCTGTTCATAGCACTGCTGTGCAGTGCTGATGGTAGGCGTGGAAGTAGAAGACGTCGAATATGTCGACTCAGATGCCGAAGAGTTTGTTTCCCATATCGAAACTGCCGTACCAGAGGATGCCCCGTTCAGAGGTACTGTCGTATAAGATGCAGAAACCCTTGCAGATTCGTCAAGAGATCATTTTTAGATGAAAGTGAAGAACCAGCTTTACCTTCAAAGTTTACAGTGTATGACAGTGACAGCGATGGCGAGCTAACAAGAGGAGAGTTTACTGATGCTATTGACCTGATGCAGGAAGATGGTCGAGAATTGTTTGAAATCATTGACACCAACTCTGATCAGAAGATAACTTGCGATGAATTCAAGCAGGCCGCAAGAGATGTAGCTGATGGTGAACCGAGCTGTGACTGATCTGTCCGCCTTTGAATAGAAGAACCAGACATCATAGTGCTTTGTCGCTTACTCTGTGGAAGTACAAATCTCAGTAACTTTGTTCAGCATGTAACTCTGGTTTACAGCGCTGTACTAACTTACACAGCTTTTATAAAAGTAGAATGTAGTTAGTTTCAGGGAATAAACGTTAACGTAGGTGCTTTTGTCTCTTGAAAGCTACCGTAGTTTCCTCAGGGACCTTATCTTTTTTTAAAGGCGAATAGTTTCAATTAAAGGGATAAGCTGTTTTTGGCCAATTAAAAGCTAGTACCTCAATCATTGACACCGCAGTTGCTCAGTTATCTAAATTGTTTTTTTAAAAGGCGAAGAGTTTCAATTTGGGACCAGATTTTTTTTTGCCAAGCTACCTCAATCGTTAAATGGCAGCTTCATGGGAAATGTACCTTAATCTTAGCTATGGATTAAAGTAATTTGTTTGCTTAATGCTTGTAGTCTGTGATTTTTCCGACCTCGTAACAACATTGAGATATATATTCACATTTACAGGACAACTACAGGACGGCTTATTATTCAGTTCGGTTAAGAAGGAGAGTGCAGGCATGCGTATATAAATAAGATGGTTTCTTTTTACGCTAGAATTAGGATATGAGTACTTTGTTGTCTACTCAACGGAACATTGAAAAAAAAATGAAGGAATGAACCCGCATTCATGAAGGCACTAGAAGAAATTTCGGTGAATAGCACGAAAAAAATGCAACAAGTGTGCAAATCCTTAAATCAAAAATCACAACAAAAAAAAGAAAAACAGTTCAGACTAAACAGGAGGCACTGGCATCAGTAAGGTTTATTATATAGCAGAAAGATGTGAATTTATTCAGATGATACGACAAGAAGTGCCACCACTCATATATTTTCTAATGGGGTAAATTCTCGCGACTTAGTCGTCGGTCGTTCGATTCCTTGATAACAAGCGAATATAATGATAGAATTGTAAGATATTTATGGTAGATTTGCGTTTTCGTTATTCCTCAAAAGTAAGATTCGTCAATGCTGTCCTATTTGTAAAGCATACTAAAACTGCTTTCGCACACTGTAAATAGTGATACCGTTCCGGTAGGAAACGTCAAGTTATAAGAGATGTATGGTAAAGCGAACGAACGGAACGAACGAACAAACGAACGAAGAAAGTTGCCGAAGAACCTTCAGAGTGGAGAATGCACGGATAGTAAAGGGACCGTTTGCCTTTCCAGGGTGAGAGGTGGCCATAGAATTTGCCCAAAGGGAAGCAAAAACGATAGAATCGGTAACCACAGTGCATGCCAAGGGCGGTCATCGATAGTTGCATGTTCCTTTAAACCTCAAGTCAAGTCAAGTCAATTTTTATTTAAACTCACACAGAATAATTATAATTAATACAAATTAGTGATTTAAAATTTAAAATCGAGAGATTGTGAAGGGAAAGAGAATTTTAATTGTAGGTTCATTGTGTAGAGTTTGGGACACCTAAATAGTTCGTGGAACTAACCGAGTAGGTGACCCAAACAAGAATATGAGTAGAAGGATATAGATACAAAATAGTTATTTTAGATAAAAAGTATTACTTCATTAGTTAAATAGTAGTTAAGATAATATAATCGTAAAACATTAGGAATCAATAATAGTATTATGACCATCAATCACAGAATTCTTGATATGTTGACGAAAACTGGAAAACGGCTTGATTTCGTTAACATCAATAGATAAAGAATTCCAAAGTTTTGTACCAGTGTAACTGATAGAACGAATGCCGTATTAAGTGGTATAAACAGATTTAACAAACAGATTATCAATCTGTGATTGGCGTGTATTATATGAATGAATTGAAGATACTGGGTTAAAATAATTAACAAAGAAGGGCTTAGTTTATGGTACCACTGATAAACAAAAGAGAGAATTCCAAGATGAATTATATCAGAGAATTTTAGGAGTCTAAGAGACTTCAGCAATGGCTCAGAATGAGATCTAAGGTCGGAAAAAGTCATTATTCTGACGACTCGTTTTTGCAAAGTAGTTACTGGTTTTAGGTAGGTTGGGTATGTGAGACCACAAACTTGAATACCATAAGTAAGAAAGGGGTAAATATGGGAATAGTAAAGCCTAATAAGTATATCAACATTAACTAAAAATAGATAGAACTAATATTGGCCTATAGTTATCTTTGTCTTCCCTAGAGCCTTTCTTAAAAACTGGGGTAACTTTTGCCAATTTTAGTTTACTGGGAAAAATACCACAGAGAAAAGAATCATTAATTAGGGATGAAATAAGTGGGGAAATATTAGTCTTAAGAATTTTTAGCAATGGGACTGGAATACTATAAGGACCAATGGATTTGTTATTGTCCATTTGAGAGATGTATAAATCAACTTCAACTGAAGTAACAGGGGAGAGAAACATTGAGTCAGGAAAATTGCACTTCAGAAAAGACGTTGGACAACAGTTCCCACACGGAATGTCTTTGTCAGTATTTTTACCCACATTAACAAAGAAATTATTAAAAATGTTAGCAATAGCACAGGGATTGTCAACAGTTTTTCCACTTTCTAGAATACTGGGAATGTAATCAGCTTTAACTTTACTAATGTTGATGATTGATCTAATTCCAGACCAGATTTTTTCATATATTGTTCTTATTACACAAAAAGTAATTCTTGAAATAATCAGATTTGCTTGCTTTAACATCTTTGACAACACTATTCCTGAATTTCTTATGAAGATATATCAAATTTGGATTTGAATGTTTACACCTAATGATTTTGGAATAGAGCTTATCTCTATAACGAATTTTGGCAAGAACAGGTTTAGTAATCCAGGGCTTAATAGATAACTCAATTTCATGTTTGGAGAGCTTTCTACGTGGTACATGAGAATTTATAAATTGAGGTATCTGATCATAGAAGATGTCAAATTTAGTTATTGGCATCCATGTAATCACTTGAGATGTTATTCCAGTCTAGAAGTGAGAAATCATTGATAAATTTCTCTTCATCAGATTTGGAAAAGTCATTTTTATAATAATTTAAAACTTTATAGTTCATTTTGAGATTGTCTACAATCAGGAATTGAGGAAGATGATCAGAGATTTTAAAGAATAGGTTACCACTTATGACATTCATAGCATAAGTATTTGCAAATATATCATCAGTGAGGGTTGCTGATCTTTCAGTAATACGTGTTGGTTGTAAGATATAAGGTAGAAGAACAAAAGAGTTTAGCATTAGTAAGAAATCATTAGAATCAGGATGACTTTATATTAAAGTCACCCATAATGAAGATGGACTTATTTTCAGTAGTTAACTGAGATAGAGTTGACTCCAGATGTTCTTTGAACCTTACAGGGCTAAAGGAAGGATGTCTATAGGCACAGCAACATAAAATATTTTTAACTCTAGTATTAACTACTTCAACCCAGACAGTTTCAAATTCATCATCAGTTGTACTTAGGCCAGTTCGCTTAAAAGCATTTAAAGTATGTCTAGTGTAAATTGCCACACCACCAGCCGCAGATCTGGAGGGTTGTGAATGTAATATATAACCATCCAAGTTATTATTCGTTTTGAAACCTGAGGAATAGTTTTCTCTAGTTTCGCTAATGCCTAAGATATGAAAAGGAGAATTCATCAATGCAAGTATAGTCTGCAGGTTACCCAGATGGGCATCAAGACTATTTAAGTTAACGTGAAATAAGGAGAAATAAGATGTCGAAGACGATACATGTAAAGCTAATTTGTCAAAATCTGATGGATAATAATATTTAGAATTTGTGGGATTAGGTATATTTGACTCAATATCAGAGATGTTTAGACTTCTCAGGCTAGTAATCTTAGAGATAATATCAAGGGAGGGTAGCAGTTCAATGTCAGAGGGTTTCCTAGAATAATAAGAATGTTGAATTCAATATCATTTAAAGAACTAAAGAGAAATACCGTAAATCAATAGTACATATTTTACAGAAGAATTCCTCATTGTTAAGTTTTAAGTCTTTGCAGTCCTTAATGATCAGACCATTACACCTGCTGTTAACTTCTGGCATATGCCACAAGTAAATGTTTGATTATGTGATACGCCGTTCATTTGCCATCAGATAAAGTGAATAAATCTATATGTTCATACATTTAAGCCACGAGTTGATGAACCATTCGGTCTGTCTCTGATAATGAGCTTATCGAGGGAGAAATAAGCAAGTTTACCTCATGTTATGCTTTAGCTTGTTTGAGCTGAGGCAGTTGTGCCCTTCTTTTCGCCATTGTCTCCTCGACTAGGTCTTCAAAAATGTTTAGACCTTCGGGTTTGATTCTCCTTGCTTTTTTGAGAATTGCCTCCTTTCCTTTATAACTAGTAAACGACCGTTCTCGGTTTTGAAGTTCCATCATGCCTCCTGGGACGACTTGTGCGATGAGCATGTTCAATTTCTGGAGCAGATTCAAAATCGAGTTTTTCGACGAGGACATTTTAAACTTTCGCTTCCGTTTCATCCCATGTTTCATTGTCATCTTCTAGTAATCCTTCGAAGCGCAGATTGTTTCGTCTACTTTGATTTTCTAAGTAGACGGTCTTCTCGATATGTTTCTTCATCGTTGCCTCGATTTTAGAAACGTTATCTTCGATTGACTTGATCTTTTCGGCGTGGTCGGTTAAGTCCTTTTGACTAAACTCCAGACTAGCTTTTAATTGAGCGACATCCTTGACTACGCCGTCAATACGCACATTTATGCTGGTAAGAAAAGAGTCCATAAAGGACTTGATCATACTATGAAGAAGCTCTTGGACGGAAGACTCTACCGGATCCACTGGAATCTCCGGTTTCTGGAGGTAGCGTGTTGGCTTTCTCTTGGTTTTTTCGTTTGCCAGACATCTTGTTAATCAGAATGAAGTAATACTATTAAAGTTTAGACGAAAATAACGAAACCAGATCAGCGAAAAGGAGAGCGGGTCAAAACACAACCGCCATCTTCTCCTCAATGTTCCTTGTCTCATTAAACCTGAATGGCCAAATCAACAATTAACTTTTTGATGACTGTTCCCCGTATTTCGTTCACGCGCATCATGTTGTCACCATAGACCTTGTCACGGTTTTCGACGCCATCTTGACGAGTAGGCAAACGTGTGAGAAATTACAGAACTTGTATGAAAATCTATTGTCGAATAATTTCGGTAAAACGGCCGTTCTGAAAAAAATTTTAATTGTAAACTAAAGCTACAAAGCAAAGGATTGACCTAAAAAAATTTGGGGGCGTACCTGTGCTAAATTTCTCCGGAGGCTTGCTTTAGATTTTCCATATATTTGTCTGTAATTTTCCGGGGACTTTCTTACAGACAAATGTATAGGAAATTTAAAAAGTGGTTCTAGGTCTTCTGGTGCATGTAACGCCCTCAAGTTTTTTCAGTAGAGTCCTTAGGAATGAAGCTTTAGGTTACAAGTCATATTTTTTTCAGAACAGCCATTTTACGGAAATTATTCGAAATTAGATTCTCATACAAACACTGTAATTTCGCACGCGTTTGCCTACTCGTCAAGATGGCGTCGAAAGCCGTGACAAGGTCTATTAACCATACGTGCTCAAGTTGGAATCAATGGAACCAACAGCTTGCTCTTGACTGATGGTTGAAAGCCAAAAACGGGCACGAATAAGCAGAACTAGGTCTCGGTAAATGTTTGCGGCCTTTCGTTATTATTTTCGGGAGTCTTTCGATCTTCTTTTTTTGGGTAATTGTTTTTAAGAATTTCTACAATACCCTACAAAAGCTCTTATTTCAGCTCCTATAAAACACTTGTTTCAAATTGTAGGCAAATACGCTAAATTAAGATCAATTAACGTGTTAAAAAGGAGCACTTTGGTCACTGTTATCGTTTACTGTTTGAGGAGAGGGGCGGCTGCACACAGGCTATTTATCGTTAATTTTTCTCATCCATCCGACTCTAAAGTTCAAATTATCGAAGCGAAGAACATGCAAAGGCCTTTGGCCTGGGCCGATTTATTATTATTTTTTTCATAAATTTACCACCATTACGGCTTCCTGAATTCTTGTTTGAGCTGAAACGATTTCTGAAATAATATATCGTTAAAAAGTGTTGTTAGTGATACAGCTGTATTTGAGCTTTTTAAGCACACCGCGATCTAAGTTTAGCTCACCTAGCGTCAATTGGTACTCAAAATAAATGAATTTGACATCCATACACGCGCCAATATTTACCCCAAAATTGGATCCGCAAAAGTATAAAATTAAACGTAAATCACTTTTTCTTTAAACCTCGTAGAACTTTGGATTAGTACGCTTATGAAATGGCAGCTATTAAGTTTGTGTTCCTTGTTATGTTGTTCATAGCACTGGTGTGCAGTGCTGATGGTAGGCGTGGAAGTAGAAGACGTCGAATATGTCGACTCAGATGCCGAAGAGTTTGTTTCCCATATCGAAACTGCCGTATCAGAGGTTGCCCCGTTCAGAGGTACTGTCGTATAAGATGCAGAAACCCTTGCAGATTCGTCAAGAGATCATTTCTAGATGAAAGTGAAGAGCCAGCTTTACCTTCAAAGTTTACAATGTATGACAGTAACAGCGATGGCGAGCTAACACGAGGAGAGTTTACTGATGCTATTGACCTGATGCAGGAAGATGGTCGAGAATTGTTTGAAATCATTGACACCAACTCTGATCAGAAGATAACTTGCGATGAATTCAAGCAGGCCGCAAGAGATGTAGCTGATGGTGAACCGAGCTGTGACTGATCCGCCCGCCTTTGAATAGAAGAACCAGACATCATAGTGCTTTGTCGCTTACTCTGTGGAAGTACAAATCTCAGTAACTTTGTTCAGCATGTAACTCTGGTTTACAGCGCTGTACTAACTTACACAGATTTTATAAAAGTAGAATGTAGTTTGTTTCAGGGAATAAACGTTAACGTAGTTGCTTTTGTCTATTGAAAGCTACCGTAGTTTCCTTAGGGACCTTATCTTTTTTTAAAGGCGAATAGTTTCAATTAAAGGGATAAGCTGTTTTTGGCCAATTAAAAGATAGTACCTCAATCATTGACACCGCAGTTGCTCAGTTATCTAAACTGTTTTTTTTAAAAGGCGAAGAGTTTCAATTTGTTACCAGATTTTTTTTTGTCAAGCTACCTCAATCGTTAAAAAACAGTTGCATGGGAAATGTACCTTAATGTTTGGCTACGGATTAAAGTAATTCGTTTACTTAATGCTTGTAGTCTGTGACTTTTTCTGACCTCTTAACAACATTGAGATATGTCACATTTACAGAACAACCAAAGGAAGGCTTATTATTCAGTTCGGTGAACTAGGAGTGTAGGCATGCGCATATAAATAAGATGGTTTCTTTTTACGCTAGAATTATGATATGAGTACTTTGTTGTCTACTCAACGGACCACTGAAAAAAAAATGAAGGAATGAACCTCCATTCATGAAGGCACTAGAAGAAATTTCGGTGAATAGCACGAAACAAATGCAACAAGTGTGCAAACCATTATATCAAAAATCATAAGAAAAAAGAAAGAAAAACAGTTCAGACTAAACAGGAGGCACTGGCATCAGTAAGGTTTATTATATAGCAGAAAGATGTGAATTTATTCATATGATACTACAAGAAGTGCCACCACTCATATATTTTCTAATGGGGTAAATTCTCGCGACTTCGACTTCGGTCTTTCGATTCCTTGATAACAAGCGAATATAATGATAGAATTGCAAAATATTTATGGTAGATTTGCGTTTTCGTTGTTTCTCAAAAGTAAGAAGTAAGTAAGATTCGTCAATGCTCTCCTATTTGTGAAGCATACTAAAACTGCCTTCGCACACCGTAAATAGTGATACCGTTCCGGTAGGAAACGTCAAGTTATAAGAGATGTACGGTACAGCAAACGAACGGAACGAACGAACGAAGAAAGTTGCCGAAGAACCTTCAGAGTGGAGAATGCACGGATAGTAAAGGGACCGTTTGCCTTTCCAGGGTGGCAGGTGGCCATAGAATTTGCCCAAAGGGAAGCAAAAACGATAGAATCGGTAACCACAGTGCATGCCACGGGCCGTCATCGATAGTTGAATGTTCCTTTAAACCTCAATGTCGCATGTCTCTTTAAACCTGAATAGCCAAATCAACAATTAACTTTTTGATGACCGTTCTCCGTATTTCGTTCACGCGCATCAAGTTGTCACCATTAACCATACGCGCTTAAGTTGGCCGGAATGGAACCTACAGCTTGCTCTTGACTGATGGTTCATCCCAGGAATATTCTGACAGAGAACAGTGATCTGCAACTGAACAAAAGCAATAAACGTTAACATCTTGATTATGTTCCATTGAAGATGTTTGACCGGCTGAGAGGAACGCCCGGGGAGTGCTCATTTCGGTGAATACTAATTAAAATAATTCGAGTTCTTAACGCACTCTCGGATGTACAGTAGCACCCACAATGATGTCGTCGGAAATAACCAATTTACGTGAATGTATTCAAAACACTTTACAAGGCTTAGTCAGTGTCCCATGTACACTGTATAGGGTCTCCCGATGTCGCAGCCGCAACAAAACAGTATTGCACTGATGAAGGATAGCCCGTGAGCAAGCTCTCCTATTTGGACGAGTGAAAAGAGTCTCGCGAGAACGCGGCCCCTCGCTCGCGCGTTCTAGCGAGGCTCCCTTTGCTTGCCCAAATAGGAGAGCTTGCTCGCAGGCTAAATAAAGGACTAAGCTCGAAACTCTTGAAAATCGACTACCTTATTCTCCTTTATTTTCGCGGGACTTAAATTTCGCGAAAATTTTCTCGGAACATTTCGCGAGTCTTTAATTTCGCGATCGCGGAGAAAAATTGTGTTTGCAGGAAGTTTAATTTCGCGAAATTGACGATTAAGTGACTTTTTTTTTTCTTTTTTACAAAAATTGTACGTTAATCAACAGTTGAAACAAAACCAATATGCTGTCCCTTAGTGGCAGCCGTATTCCTCTTGTTCTTCCGAGTCGTCATCGAGTATCGAGCGTCAACAGAACCTTCAGTCTCTTCAAATGGATCCTCAGGGGCAAGACTAAACGATTCATCTAATAGTTGGGCGATGCCAGCCTTTTCCTACCCTTTAGTGATGTGACAATTTTTAAAAATTTTAAAACTAAACTAGTGAGCAGCACTCTGCGAACTGTTGCTGAAAAACTTGTTTATTCTCCTAGGCGTTTCGTCTAACTAACGTAGAATTCTCCAGGGAGTTTTACAATCAAGTACTAAACGCCTGTATTTAAGCCATAATATGACTAAAACTAATGATGGTCGCAAACATTGAAGGTTTGGCCGGATTTACGAAAAGGAACAGGCGCAGCTGTGAAATTTTTTACGCAAGGCGTGAGAAAACTTTGGGGCCACGGTTTTCGCTAAAATAAGTAATAAACAAGGTTTACAGCAACAGTTCGCAGAGTGCTGCTCACGAGTTTAGTTTGAAAAATTTTAAAAATTAACATCTGAAGTTGATAGATGATAGCTCCTTGTACTAACACCTTGTGTTAAAAATTGTTTAGGACCCTTGAAAACACAAGTACATGATTTTAAATGTCCATTAAATTTCGCGAGATCAAAGTTCGCGGTCGTTATTTTTCGCGGGCCTTTAAGTTCGCGAATTTTTTAAAATCGCGAAAATCGCGAATTTAAGAACCCGCGAAAATTAAGGAGAATAAGGTACAAAGATTTGTCACCCTTATATGAGCGGTCAGATGTACTCATCAACCACGTGCTTCTTACATCTAAAACTTTACAGTACAAATAACAAACACTTTTAGGGTCAATTGTTACCTGAAGGAAACAGAGAGGCATAGACTTTACTAGAAGCACCATCTACATCAATTGTTGTTCCTGTTATGTAGGCTGCAGCAGGAGACAAGAGAAAGGTAACTGCCCCTGCAACCTGATGTGAAGGCAAAAGAAATGAACTTATCGTGAAAAAAAGAAAATGAAGGCCAAAAACGGGCACAAATACGCATAACTGGAAAAGCTTAAGCTTCAAGGTCTCGGTAAATGTTTGGGGTCTTCGTTTTTATTTTCGGTAGTCTTTCGATCTTATTTTTTTGGGTCACTGTTATCGTTCACTGTTTGATGAGCGGGCCGGGCGGCTGTACACGGGCTATTTATCGTTAATTTTGCCCATTTTTCGACTCTAAACTTCAAATTATCGAAGCGAAGAACACACAAAGGCCTTTGGCTTGGGGTGATAACACTTAATGAGACCTTGATTATTCCGGATATCAGAAAAACCGAATGCTTCTTTTATATACAGTGAAACCTGTATTAAGGGCACACTGTATTAAGCGGACATCCTCTATTAAGCGGACAGTAGCCGAAGTCCCCAAATTTGTTTCCCTTATTTACTTTACATAAAACCTTTATTAAGCAGTCACCTGTATTACGCAGACGGGGACACCTAAAAAGTACCTTCAATGGTCATTTCTACTGTTGACCACCTGTATTAAACGGACACTTGTAATTAAATTCCACCGCCCAACATGCTAGACGCCGGAAATGCGAAAGATTGTCACACACAAATTTTTCGATTTTTACATAAGAAACGTGATTCGACGAACTTATTTGATTAGTTTCACAGTACAGTATTGTTTTCTATTTCGTTTTGTTTCTGTAGAGCTTGTTTCACTCATTTGATTTCTTCAAATTTGAGTTGTAATATATGCTTTTGGTACTATGATCAATTGGTCCACTTTAGTAAAGAAATTAATGCAAACGTATATCGTCATAGTCTCTGGGAATATTCTAAACGTTTCCACTGTTCATTTGAATGGCATTTGACATCCGATATGACATTATCTATCAAAACCTGTATTAAGCGGACACTACAGCATTCCCCGAGGGTGTCCGCTTAATACAGGTTTCACTGTACTTTGTTTTGAGAAAACAACAACAAACACACCGTCGCACAGATCAAAGTTTGATATTACTCTTGAAAAATACGCATTGCGCGCGCAACCTACAGATTAGTCACTAATCTGCTACCAGATAAATGACTAACTTGTAGGTTGCGATGGTAACTGTAGGCTCTTAGCCAATGAGAAGACAGAAAGGGAGTACAATACATTCAGTCGATTATTCTACAGGGGGGATCCCTACAGGGCAAACCAATGAAACAGTACATCTACGACAACAAAATTCACCTCTGCTGTAGTTCCACACCTTCTAGCTGGCAGCTTATCACGCAACTTCTGAAACAATTCAGGGTCAGCATAGTTCTGAGCAGCTGTTTCAGAGTAGATAACACCCTGGAAATAGAAGTACAATGCACATTCAATTGATTTGACACCTTTTGTAGGCTATGAAAAATTTACAAAGACTTTTTAAGGTTACTGGACACCTTCAGGGATGTCTACGTGCTGGTCATGTAGTGTATTCTGGTTAAGCTGCAGATGCCTAAAGCCCTATATCAAATTGAAGCTCACTGACCTGGCTGTTTTAAACTACGTGCAAACGGACGCAAAAATTCCCAACATTGTGGCGCCAACAATGCTGCGTGTTGTTGCGTCCGTGTTGCAATGGTGTGCAAACGGATGCAACAACTAGTACTCCAAGAAACTCGCAACAACATGCAACGTGGTGTGCAAACGGGCGCAACATGTACAGTATGTGGTCCTTGGTCCGCGTGTAAAAGTCATTAACTTGAATATCTTACCCGAATCTTCATTTAACGAGCTGAAATACTCCCTAAATATAGCTTTTATGTTCCTGTCGATAATCCTGAAGTTTCAAGTTCCAGACATAAACATTTTGCTAGGAATTCGCAAAAAGGCGACCGTTTTCGATGGTCCTTGGTCCGCGAATCTGGTCCTTGGTCCGCGTCTCAGGTAAGCAGCACGATAAAAACTTAAAAATGTTATAGTTTCCCCACGAAAACGTGATTTTCACAGTAGTTCTTGTATTTTTTTCTTTTCTTGATGCAATTAAGCTAAAGTTTTTTTCGGAAGATACTGTGAGCATAAAATAATCCGCTTTTCTTTCAAATACTTCAGACAACAGTCTCCTCGAGTCTCTTACACGAGCGTCGACGAGCGGTTTTTAGCGCGGTCGAAAATAATTACCAAAAACTCTATATGTACTCGAGGTATTAAAAAAGAGAACTTGTAGACATGTATAGGGACGACTTTTAAAACATTCTTCGAAAACAAAGGCCGTCGCTTTTCACTTTGGAAAGTTTTGTCCACCAAGGTCATAGGCCGCGGACCAAGGACCGCTAAGCGAAGTTTGGTGATATTTTTCAAGAGTCGCTAAAACAAAAAATTCAGCGTCTACAGCAATATGCTCCCAACAGCAGAAATAAGTTGATCTGAAAACATGTTCTGCCAAAAGGCAAGTCTTCCCGTTGCGTTTTAGTTATTCGCAGGCTAAGTAAACAAGACCACGTAATTTACGGTGCCGCAAAAATCCAAACTTCAAGAAAGACAAATTAACCTACCTGTCAACAAACTTTAATTTCGCGTCTTCACCCGCAGTAAGAAGGCTGAAACTTCGTCATATGAAAGAATGCTAATCAGTAAATCACGATATCTTTCATTATTCAACGTATTCTTTTTCTTGACGAAATATTTTATCATTTTCGGAAAAGACGCGCACCAAGGGCATCGGGGACTTGAGCGGACCAAGGACCACATACTGTAACATCTAACAATGTTGCGTTCGTTTGCACGGGTTTTAAGAAAAATTACATTTGTTTAAAAATCTCGCCCTGTCAATTTTTTAACAATCTTTAAATGCGAGCGTGCGGAAAAAAGACGTTTTTCACATTGGTCCGGGTAGTAACGCTGCATAACGTCTCACGTGCAAGCCATGTAGCGCGTTCCGGTTAAACTGATTGGGACGCTCGAATCTACAAATCATTGTTATACAGCAGGAAATTTTTTCCCAATAGCACGCGCTCTCATTGCAGTTCGAGGTCACACGACATATATACTGTTTCGGCCTCGGGAAAGGTTGAGATTCTAAGAAAACAAACTGAACCGTTTCCCGGTAAAAGTCACGTTTACGCCAAAAGGCGAACGTGAATTGGTACCACGTGACCAAGTTTCCCCCTGAATTGTTGCTTGTTGTTTATTACTTCTACACAAAAATAAGTAGTTTCACACAAAGGAATTGTTCTGGACAGTTTTTATCTGGTTATTTTCTATTTTGAGAGATTCTCAACTTGAATCTGACGTTTGCCGTTGGCCGTTGACGTGACTCTCAATCTCTCTGATGAAACTGTTTAATAAAAAATCGACAGTGTGATGTTTAAAAAAATGATTAACAGCCGTATAAATAAGGTTCAATTTGATATAGATTTTAAGATACAGTGTATAATGTGGCTTACCCTACCCTGGGTACAAGAGGTTTTTTCTCGCGTACGTCGGGGAGCTTCGTTTCGTCGGCCGCAGGCCGACACGTGTTCGGCCGAAGGCCGAAGACACGAGCAGCGAAGCCGCGAGGAAAAACTTTTCGCGAGAAAAAAGCTTTTCGTGCGGGTCACTTTTTAAGACTTGACCGAAACCGGAAACCGCGCATGAAAAGCCTCTGGCACCCAGGATAAGCTTACCCGGAACACGCTACATTACTTGAATGTCACTGTGAGCGGACACCCCTGACTGAGATATCCAGTAAACATAAAAGAAGTGTGACCAAATTAAAAGAAAGTTTAAACAGTTATTCAACGTGTCTATAAATAGTAGAAATAGAATTACTACAGAGCACCTCCCAGGCAATGAACATGGCTTAATTTTTTCTTTGAAAATGGAAAATTTTTAATTCACTTTGTTGTCCTCAATTTGTCGTCATGAACCTCGTACATGAAAGGCTTAAAACAAATTGCTCCAAAATTTCCAACCTAAACATACCGTGAACAAATATGAACTTTTCTTTCTGTATCTATGGATATGTCCCTTGTTTATAGCTGGGCGTACAGTTTGTGTTGTTGCTTTTAAGTTGCATCACTTTCCATACAGGGAATGTTCAGTACGATTTTCTCAGTTCACTCTTTATAGAACTTACTGGAGTTACACAATTGATTCTTATGCCATTTCGTATCCACTCCACAGCCAAACTCATGGTCAAATTTTGGACTCCTGCTCGTGCTGCACCAGTGTGGCTTAATTTGTAAAATAAACAATAAAACGGAAAGACAACAGACAATTGTAATTTTTTGTGAAGAGAATGAATGATACTCTGATATGGCAAGTCACAAATACAGCACATGGGTGTATTGGTATGAAACTGTAGCCACTGGAATGGGTATTCACTGACCAGTTACAAAAACGTTGAGACACTCACTTCAAATCGCTGCTAGTTACACTTCTGTGCAATGTTATACTCACCTTCCTCCTCCCCTCCTTTCAAAGTTGTTCTTCCAAGTTTTGAGCATGGTCTTGTATTGCTAGCAAGAGGAGGGATCACAAGCACAAGATCATGGCCAGGCTATTTAAGCCAAAATACGGTGTAGTGTCTCAACTGGTTGTAGCCTCATTGTTTTTTGCGGGCAGAAACGTCCCCTTGATTTTTTGCTAGTTTTCAGAGGCGTGCAAAACTTACAAAATTTTGGCCTGTGGCTTTTTTTCCTGATAAGGAAACATACCGTTGAACATTTCCTTAATGATTTCCACTTCATTTGGCAGAAATCAGAGATGCAAGTCTAACTAGTCTCTTGCTGTTGTGGTTTGTGCAATCAACGAAATATGACGAACAGACTCTGATACGAAAGATTGAAAAAAAAATGAACAATAGTAACAAACACTAATAATAAAACAAAATACCTTAAAATACCAATATTACCAGTAGTTTCCACAACACCAAGAAATACTCAATTTTATTGATCTGTCACAGTTATGTTAAGTGTCAGTATACAAATGCACAGCTAACACAACAAAAAGCAACAAAGTGACATGTGCACTATATATACTTACGCCATCCCTGGAAAACCTTTACTCATGTCCGCAATAATATTTACAATGGAACCACCATTGTCAGACATCCACAATCTATATACTAAACAAGAAGGACAGAAGAAAGGTATGCTGTGATTTTTATCTGCACCTGGACATGTGACAGAAGAGCATGTTTGTATAGGGTGCAAACTTGTAGCCTGCCTAACAGGTGTCAAAAGGGATCGGGGATAAGGAGAAGGGGAAAAGGAGAGGGGGATTGGGGAGAGGGTAAGGGATGCCTGCAAGGACTTCCTTTTGTCCGCAAATTCCTGATTGGCTAAGCCCTAATGAGTAACTTAATGACGTATATTTCCTTTTTCCCTTTCATGCTTTTCTCCCCCTAACACCTGCCATTGACATTTTTGCTGTCAAACATGCAGTTGGACAGCTATTACTAGTCAACTGTCACTGCCAAGCTCTGGAGATTTTAAATCTGGATACTGTCTCTGATGCAGTACCAACCTTCCTAATATCAACCCACCCAACCCTCGATACATACAAATCAACCCACTCTCCCAATCATAAATTAGGTGTGGGTGTGCCTCAGAACATTTTAAGTACCAAAAACAAAAGAAAAATAATAGCCATTAGTCCCTTCCATGAATTAAGTACTGAGTGAAAAAAGAGGTTTTTTTTGCTGATAAAAGCATTGGAAATCATTTCAGAAACTAAATTAAAACTTCAAATCAAAAACGTGTTTGAATTTTGAAAAAATTTGGGCTACATCACTAAAGCACAGAAAAAACAAAAAAGTTAATTTTTCATGTATGCAGAAGATTTGGTGACCTGTCAGGGGGACTGGGAGATTTTAGTGCCATATCCAGGAGACTCGTGCCCTTACACATATACGCACCTACTAGCGGGAGAACAATATTTCTCTAAGGTGTTCACACTGCATACATTCATGTACATGTAAACAAAGTTACCATGTAAAAAATTATTAACCATGATCTCTTTCTTGGGTTCTCTCAGACTTCACTATAAATTATTACAAGATAATATTATTCACAAAAAATGTCATAAATCATAAGCTTTGAACTTCTTCTTGTACCTTCCTTGCAGCACAAAAATGTGCCATTTAAGTTTGTGTCAACAACAGCTCTCCATCCTTTAGCTGACATGTTTGAAACAGGTGACATGAACTGTCCTCCTCCATTGTTCACAAGAAAATCAACTTTCCCATAAGAGGCAAGGGTTTCTTCAACCAATTTGGTTACCTGAAAGATAGAAAATAATCACTTTATAAGGAGACAAAAGTAAAATTTTTGTCACTACCGGTAACTGTAATTTTACAGGTTAACCATCCCAATTGCAGAGGGTAGACTATTAATCAACTGAAAACTCAACACCCTAAAATTAACCTTCCAAGATGTACTTGAATTTTTGGGGTTATGTTCTGGGCCTTTGGAATTTCAGGGAGAATCAGTCTCAGCCTGTGAGGATTCATTGTGGGTTTACCAGTTTAGCTTCATTCTCACCTTGCTGACAGCTGTTTGAGGACTACAGATGTCATGTACATGTATCTAAACACCTGAATAAGCCTAGGGGTACTCCCTTCCATAAGCCATATAGGTACTATATGTGCTGCCCAAAGGGTATGGTTTTTGCGCTGTTTCAATCTAAGAACAGGTATTGACGTTGCCAATTATTTTGGTCTGGAATAAGGTATGGTTTTTGAGGGAACTATGGGAACAAAGAACAAAGAGTATAAGAATTCAAAATGGATTTTAAAAAATCTTTTTGTTGGTGTTCTAAGGCAATGTATGAATGTATATATCACAAGAGGTTGGGTTTCCTGGAAAAGCGGGATCGGGGAACAAGGATTAGGGAATGGGGACCCATACATGATAACTTTTTTCCTTTTTTATAAAATATTTAGAACGGAATCATAATAGACCGATCCTGATTTTCCAGTAAACCAAAGGCGTGGGGATAGGGTAGTTATATGTATATGGGGGGTGATTAGATCCAGCTCTTATGGTCATAATTTTAGACTATAAAGCGCTCTAACCAGCTCCAGGCCACAATGTAATGTGAACCCCTAAAAGGTCAACAAGGTAGCCTGTTCCAAGCGTTCAGATGGTAGGGAGCGAGGAGAGCAATTTTTCGCCCGCGCCCTACTTATTTTTCCGCCCATGCCCTACTATCTGAATGCCCGGAATAGGCAATTTTATCCCAGGGGAGCAACTCCTCCCTTGCCCGGCAATAAAACTCCAGTTCACAGTAAGTCAATGACAAGACATTAGTAGTAACATTGTAAATAAAGAAAATATGGTATATGCAATTAGTTCATCTTTCAAAATCACACTGGAAGTTGGCTTCACGGATATGTTCAAAGATGACAAAATAGTTGATAAAATTACCTGTTGTTCTTCTCGAATATTACAAGGTATGACTTTAACTTCAGCGCTGCTGGAAGGTTGAATATAACGCGAAAGTTCCGCGGCCGCCTTGAGTAGTTTTTCCTCTTTTCTAGAGGAGATCACAACTTTACTGCCTAGGTAGATCAGTTCTCTAGCTATTGCTTTTCCGATGCCTGTTCCACCGCCAGTAACAATGGCCACTTTCCCTTCGAACAAACCACTTCGGAACACGGAGTGCATGATGAATGGTGAAAACACGCGTGTTAGACACGAGGAACCTCGCGCAGATAAGCGTTATGACACATAAATGACCAGAAACTTTTATTGTACAGTGTACGCTGTTGAAGGTGATCGCAGGCGCGATTTCTCGCGAACCGTCATTTTTTCACCCAGCGGTTTCTTGAAGAAAGGATACGTGTTTTTAAAAGAGTATACCGTGAAAATGCAGGTTTGTTGTGCTAGTTTTAGAAAGAAACTCTTTGAAATCGATTAACTGTTAACGCTCTGTTTTGTTTTTCAATCTTAAAGAAACAGGATGAATCTAAATTGAGAGAGGCAGAGTTATTACCTATCGATATTTATTACAACAAACTTCTTGGTGAGTTAGAAAAGCTCTTTGGTAACCTTAATTTTTCCTTTATTTTGATTAATCTTAGAATTAAGTTTAAAAGTATCTGCTCTACCAAACCAATTAGCTAAAACTCCTTGTTTGGCTGGGTAGAAAAATATTTGAGCCGTGTACATTGTACCTTCCCACTTACATTGTATTGTTGGTGCGAAAACCGTGTTAGCCTCAGCTCTCTTTCTATGATCAGTTTTAAAGTACGTGAAAGCTTATGTAAAGTGTGCATTTGTATATGGTTTTCATATACTTAAAGAAGATCATGTACTCACCAATGTAGTAATCCCCTGGAAGGGGTTGTGGGTTAGTTGAAGCGGTATAAGCCCCAAAACTAAAAATAACTATTGATTATCAGTTAATTGTTCAATTTCCCTGGTTTGGAATGGAGTGGAAGTTTTTTACACATTGTATTACCCATACATTGTATTACCCATA